CCCATCTTCCCCCTCCTCTTCGTCTATCCCCTTCCTCTTCGTCTGTGTATGGTATGGGCTGGCGCTGTCTTCCTGTGTGAAGCGCCAGACCCATTCACACCTTGTAACGATGATGATGATGTATGTTCAGGGCTGCATTACAACATTGATTGTTCGGATCACTGGTATCTAAGTCTTCCGCTGTGTTATCTTGTACTTTGTATTGAAAGGTCGGTTCTTGTTCTGGTCTGCACGTTACAGTATGCAACATGCACCCACCAACAGGTGCGATACCTGCAACAGCAGGTGGGAGATACCGGCCAGGGGCCAGCCGGTAGCATCAGGACCGAGCTTCTTCGATGGGCCAGTCACTGTGCCTCCCCTCAGGTCCCCTCCCCCTATGAACATCAGCAGTCTCTGCTCAATGCCACTTGGGGGGACCAACGACATATCTCTAGGTGGCGGGCGCCAAGCTTGCCCAGGAAGGTGCATGAAGCCAATGGGGATTGAACCCAAGACCTCCTGAATGCCACTTGCGTGCCTTACCAACTGAGCTAGGCCGCTGGATCATTTTTTTATTTTTTCAATGAATAGCATGCGTTTGTTATAAGAGCAAAAGGAGGCCGGGAATCCCTCCACATCTCAACCCAGGATGCTGGGGTCCATACCAGCTTAGGCTCATACTGGAAAGCGGGTCCAGTGTCCCATACTTTCAAAATCCAACACGCTATCCCCAAAACAAAACATCGAAACTGGACAAACAAAAGGTCAAATAGTGAAAACTAATCCTAAGAGGCTAAAAGGAAAAAATCATGCTTTTTTTTTGTTTGTTTTTTTTGGAAACAGCCTGTATGGGAGCTAGAGGTGCTGATACGAGCAGGTACCTCTAGTTCCTCCGGGGAGGCTCCATCTATCGGTGGGGGCAGTACCTGCTCTAAAACGGGTCGAGCACCCCTTATACAAAGATTGGATCTTGTCAGAGTTTGTGGATAATGGGAAAAGAGCCTCTTCAGCCTGTTCCAGGCTGCTAGAAATGCACTTGCTTACTAGCTGTTTCCCATTTGCGGGAGACTGTTCTAGTCTATTCCCCCCCATACCCATCATACCATTGAAGCTCCACCACTGCTTTCTCTGAGAAAGGAAACATGTCAGGGAACTCTGACGGGGACCTCATCGGGAGGC